CCTTCATCTTTACTATAGGAATTTGATTTTGTTCAGGTATCCGATGGCCATGTTCTTTAGGGTAGAGAAAAAAGATAGAAAGAACTTGGGTCTTGGATGATGGTGTTCAGCACCTGAATTAAGCAACGCTGGAAGAATCCTCTTCTGGATTTCTTTTAATGTGAGTTAATAAGTTTTCATTTTGGTTACATCACTTCTAGTTGAGTTTTCTCTTGCACCTAACAAATGAAAATAGTTAATAATGTATTACATTTTTAATATTTAATATTTAATATTACCCTTTAAACACTCTACTAAAGCATTACTTTTAATCCTCAGAAAAATCTGAAAGGTGATTATTACTATTTTAATATTATAGATAGGAAAACAGGATCATGAAGATTAAGCAACATAATCCAACATTATATGATCTATCAGTCAGAGTTCTAAGGAACACAGATGATAGACTCAAATTAAGATAATTTGAGGAAGTTTTATTTACAAAAGGACTAATTACAAAGGTTTGAGAGTGGTGTAGGGGAACTACAGCGCTGGTGCAGGAACCCAGGGCTAGCAACTGTGGAGCTGTTACGGGGAGAGGTTACCTGAAACCAGAGGAAGAGATAGTCATGACGAACAGTCTTCCTTGAGAGGAGCACTGACCTTTGACGGAGGGAAATAGTCACCTTGCTATGACCTCACAGGGAGTGATCAGGGGAATAAATACTCTGATCTCACTGTCCTCCCTCTCTCTACTCTTCTGTCAGGCTGAACCCAGCTGAGCTGTTGGAGGTAGTCCAAACAGATTAACTTCCGGGGCAGAGAGCAAGATGGAGAAGGATGGGGAGGTAGAGGGACAATTGGAAAACATCTGTTCCAGTCCACGCTTTGTGCCCCTTAGTGTCCTCTCTTGTCCTTAATACAGGTAAAAATTCATGTCCTAAATACAAGAGATATCCAAAATCCCATCAGCTATTTATCATCATTGGGCCATGTCCATTTGTTCATACTTTCACCTAAATAATTAACCCTCATTAGTGCCCTCATATAATGTAGCAGGAGGAAAATGCGAAAATAAAAACAAATAATATAACATATAGCTGCTACAGTCCCCACTTCTGTGACTGGACATGAGGCCAGTTGCCTGTCTCGAAGCCTGGGTGTGCTCACCCCTATGGCTCTGCTCTTCCTCAGCATATTTATTCCAAAGAAAGACCATTTAATTGTTGATTCTGCAGTTGCAAAGATAAATCAATCATGTATCCTCACTAAAAGAGCTCACTTTGTGATAGATTAAACAGTTAAATCTGGTTATAAGGTGTTATAACTAGAAACATGTTGTCAGCCTTGTGATGGAATGGAAACAGCAACAACAAAAGCAACTCTGCTTAAACCAGGGTTTCTCATGCTTGGTACTGTTAATGATGAATACTGGCTTATTCTTTGTTCTGGGGCTGTCTTGTGTATTGTAAGATGTTTAACAGCATCCCTGGCTTCTACCTACTAGGTACCAGTAGTTTCCCCTCCTCCATTGTGACAACCAAAAATGTCTCTAGACATTGCCACATGTCCTATGCGGGACAAAATTTTGCCTAATTGAGAACAACCGGCTTAAAAGGAAAAGAAAGGGGCCATTGTATGGATGTGCAATAATATATTTAACTATCTCTGAATGATGTTCATTTAGTCAGTTACGATTTTTGTTTTGTTTTTTGCTGTTACAAATAAAACTGCAATGGTCATACTTTCTTTGTATACTTAGGCAAATATATGTGCATGGCAAATTTCCAAAAGTGAAATGGCTGAGTTACAGGATACATGTGTTCAGGATTGTGATGTTCTCAAAATGACCTCTAAAGAGATTGAAAAAATAGTACTATCTTTACTACTTTATTAAAATATTATTTTTTGAATTGCCTCAATTTTTTAACTTAATATCTATGAAATAATGGGTTTTTTGGATAATACACATTTTCTAATACAGACTAAAATAAACACGTAAATATTAAAATTAAAAAAAATCCTCATGCACAACCAAAAACCATCTTTTGTATCAAATATTGGGAAACACTGCTCTAGTCTATCCCCTCTATTTTAAAGATGTTAAGGCTCTTTCAAGTTTACACTGATCTGTAGTCAACACTCTTTGGTTTCTTACATTGTTCAACCCACTGATTTTTTTCAGGTCATACTTCTCCAATCATCCACATGAATATTACAAAAGATTTGGTCAAATGCTTTGTTAAAACCAAAGTACTTCACGTCTGTGACTTTGCCTTCATCTAGTTGAGTGTTGTAAAATATGGAAGGGGTTGCACTGCTATAGGAATATCTTTGGTAAGCCAAGTAAAAGACATTTGTAAATGTCTTCTCTCATTTCATGAGAACAGGCTAAGCACGAGGGAGGAGTATTTTCTAAGTATCCAGGTGGGTGTGTAAAAATAAAAAGCAATGGTTGTATTTTTTGGCAGCAAGAACTCAAGGAGAATGATTGATAGCAACCAGAGCGACATGGCACACTGATTTTCAACATGACCCTCATTCAGCATTTTGCTATTAATCATCTACTCTACACAGAGAGTCAGAGTGGCCAACTCTTTGGCACAGTCAACCCTGAATGAAGCAGAGGTCATTCCTGGGCATCCATTGTTATATCTTAGCATTCTTCTCAGCATCATCAATCACTTTTGAAGTATGGAACAGTTAGGTCTGAGATCTTGCCTTGCCCACTGCAGCAGAATAGGAGCTCAGAGGACTGACCCAGGTGCAGATGAGGGAGGTTCAGACCGATACGCAAATTTGGCTCTGTGATGGGTACAGCATTAATAGCTAGTGCCCCTGGGAGGAGTCTGGGTGGATGGGAACCCAGTCCTAGTGGGAAATCTCAGTGATGTGAAATCTGGGGGGCAGGAGCTGGGGTGAGTGGAGGCTCAGGAGTAGAGAGAGGCAGGCATTCCACCTCAAGGAGGTCTTAAAGGACAGCCAGTAAGGCCTGGGAGCCTGGCAAAACTGAGATAGGACCCAGGCCCTAGGAACCAACTGCAGTGCCTACAGTTTACAGAATAGGAAGAGAAATCAAAGCAGAGACCCAGGAACAAGAATTAGGGCACATGGGCTAGGAATTTGGAAACAAGTGAGTGCATGGTCGTTAGAGTTAGAAACCACACTAGGGGTAACCTAACCAATGGTGCAAGTTGTTGCCAAGCCTGATCCAGTGCTGCTTTCAGGAGCCTAAATTATCTCTTGATTCAGGTTAATATTACCCCAAGGAATGGAGGGTGGCCTTGACTATGCACGTGGGACTCCAGTGGTGGTGCAGAGCAGGAATAGGATCTCAAGTCTGTTTGCCAACAAAACTCGTTTTCCCCGCTGCATCCATCCAAGAGAGGCAAGAGAGAGACACGCACATACACTACCTCTTGGGGATATGATCAATCTGTTCACTAGAATAGAAGCTCCTTGAGAGCAGAAACTGTGTCTTGATCACCATTGTATCTAGAGTGCATAGCAGGGCCTAGCACATGCTCAATGAATATTTGGTGAATACATACAGGAAGGCAAAGATGGATGAACAAATGTAGGCATGCTCTCAGTTGGGTGGGATATTCCATCAGGCATTTCCAGAGTTTCAGTGAAATATCCTTGCCCTAAACATTCTATACCATTTATCATTTTTATTCCATGATAGCCAAGCAACTTGCTGATTAAAAAAATAGAATTTCCTGGTTTCTTTAAACTGGAAGTGAAGTGAATTCAACCAGTAGTCACTGTTATTTCCCTGTGTCATTTATTATATTGACATCTGGTTAGTACCTTGGTGACATGTGGACTAGGTGAGCAGTGTCAGTCTCTCAGAGGATGGGCATATTGGATACACTGAGAACATCTGATTTCTAGTCCTCCATGATTGAAATTCAGACTCTGAAATATGGGACTTACTCATGGTCTGAGATCTTCTGTAGCAGAGAAGGAAAATTGACGGATCATAAAAGCATCTGGCTACAGACCTATTTTGTTTATCTTTCACATCGTTGTTGCTGTATTTTCAAAAATTTGGCTCTAGGGTGTCCAGAGTTGTATTCATTAGCTTCATGACACAGTCTCACCATTGGCTCATATACTGATTCAAACATTGTTGCCTCATATAAAAATTCAGATTTTTGTCTTCTGTTGAGAAATCAAACATTAAGTCTATCTCACTGCGTGGCAACCAGGAGTGGCTACTCAGAGTGCTGTCTCTGTTCATACCAGTCTCTGCTGTCTCCTGACCTAGAGGCTTCATGTTAGTTGATGTGCGTCATTGGGCTTGAACTGTTATTATTCTAACAAAGTGGAAAGTGAGCTATTTTACTGCATCCATTTCACCTATTTACATTACCTGCCTGGTGAGTGTCAGCATTTGAGTTTGAGAACCTTCCTCTGCTAGGCAACTCTTTTGGAATCCCTAATAAAATCTACCATCCCCTGAGCCTTTATTATATGCAAAGCACTGGACTAACAACTTTTCACACATTATCTCTTTAATTCCTGTAAAACCCTGTGAGGTACGTATGAACTCTTATCTCCATTTTACAAGTGTAGAAACTGAAGCTCAAAGAGCTAAGCAACTTGCCTAAGATTGTAAAACTTCTAACTGGTGACACTGAGATTCAAAGGTTGGCCTGCCTGAGTCCAAAGCTGATGCTTTTAAACTTTGTATTACCCTGCTTCCCGAACCAGTAATCTTATAACGATAGAATTACTGCTGCCATTCTGTGTTTCTTCCCCACACGCAGTCCATGTGGGGCTGAGAATCAGGAAGAGGGGCTAAGCACTGCCCTGCCCTCGCCTTGGCCGTGGCGGACGCTCAGTCCACGCCAGTGTCAGACAGTTTTGTTGTTCTGTCGGCTCTGAGAGCCGTAGCTGTGCTGCAGAGGGAGGACAGCAGGTGCAGGGGTCACTGTGACTCTGGGGCAGCAGCTCATTCATCACTGTCCCTGCTTTTGTGTGTGTGTGGCCCGGCTGTCCCAGGGCTATCCCTGGGGAGGCTCATATAAAGGGACTTGAGCTCTAGCCTCGTAGCTTTCAGACCTCTGAGATGGGGAGCCTGTGGTTGTGGGTTGGTGAGTGTGGCAGGTCCCAGCCCCCACAATGTCACTCAGTCCAGGAGGCACTAGGCTTCCTAAGCTCATCATCTCTTGTTCCCAAGAAGCATCCTGGGACTCAGGCAGCTGGGATTAGGTAGAGGTGGGACAGGACATAGTGAAGGGCCAGAGGGTCCCAGGGAGGAGTGATCAGAACAGGATTTCTCAAACCTGGATGCACAGTAAACATTTTTATGCCTGGTTTCCACCTCGGACCAATTAAATCAGAATTTCTGGAGGAGGAGCCAGGATATCACTACTTTTAAATTTGCAGCCAGGTCTAGAGCTTTTGCTGGGACTTAGTCATTGTTGTCCCTGTGCAAAGCACGTGTGTATACAAGTGGTGCTTATTAGAGTGAAAAGGAATTTGGATAGATCTGGCTCCACCAGCTCAACTTAGAGCAGGGGGAATGAGTGAATGGTGTGTGTGTATATCCATTTGTGTGTCTGCATCTGGCTATGGTGCCGAGTTAGTGGGTGCACTTGGGAACTGGAGGGTGTGCTGGGGCGTGCCACTCTGGGCGTGCGTGTGAATCTGTGTGTTATTTCTTCCTTTGTTTTCCACAGGGCTGCTTCTTGTGCTGACACACCACAACGGTAAGGAAACTGTCCTCTTCTCCAGAGCCAGAGAGATTTTCCAGCTGAGAAGTGCTCTGCGTCGTGTCCCCTGCAGCCCCACCCATCCCTGTGTTGGGAATCTTTGAGCTGGTGCAGTTCAGCAGAGGATTTTCAGTCACCTGCTGTTTATGTCACTCTCTGTGTGCCAGGATCCAGACTTGAGATCCATTCTGGCCAGGATTTCATAAGGCATTCTTTTCCCTGTGGGACCTCAGCGGTCGGGGAGGGACTGGCCCTCAGTGTAGCTTCGGGAAGTATATGTGTGTGGGGTGTTACAGTGCCCTGGCCTCTCCGGCTGTGCTCACACTGCTCTCTGGAAGCCGAGCTCCACCCCCTCCCTTGGTCTCTGCCAACTAATGTGTGCTCTCCCTCGCCAGGTGCTGCCCACAAACTGGTGTGTTATTTCACCAGCTGGGCACGGAGTCGACCCGGCCCTGCCTCGATCTTACCCCGTGACCTGGACCCCTTTCTCTGTACCCACCTGATACTTGCCTTTGCCTCAATGAACAACAATCAGATTGTTGCTAAGGATCTCCAGGATGAGAAAATTCTCTACCCAGAGTTCAACAAGATCAAGGAGAGGTGTGTTCATACTGGATGATGTGGGGGTCATATTTTCAGATTTTACAGATGGAAGAGAATTAAGCCTCTTCTCCTGTCACTCATCAACTTTCCTCTGATTCCTCTGGCCCTAGCCTCCTCTCATGCGGGGCTCTGGAGCATCCCTGACTTGAGAAGCCAGTGTCGATAAGCACCCTGAGCTCGTCTTGCCTCTGCCTGAAATGTCCTTCTCCCTCTTCTCTTCCTGGCCACCCCCACTCACCCTTTAAGCCCAGCGGTGAGGATTTTGCGTATTAATGCCGTTAAAGTGCCTCAAAGAGGACCTGCACATCACAAATGCCAGCGTTTTTATTACCATTTGTCACCTCCAGCCCCCAAGCTGTGAGCCCCCAAGGGAAGGGGCAGTGTCTCTGATGTCTTTGTATACCAGTGACTAGATCAGTGCCTGTCATAGAGCTGGCGCTCAGTAAGTGCTTGTTTAAACACTCCTTTCCCCGGAACTCCTGGGTTCTCTTCTGTCCAAGGGGAGGTCTGTCACTGCATCAGTGGTTACAGATGGGCATGGTCAAATCCCACGTCACTAGAGGACAAGTTCCCTGTCTTGTTCACTGTTGTATCTTGAGCACCGGAAGCAATCAAAGGCACATAGTAATTGCTCAATAAATATTTGTTGACCAAGAAAATGGGTACAGATAAACAACTGAGATGACTTTTTTGTCTTCCTTTTCATGGGAATGTCATGGGCATGTGAGGAGTTTGGGGCTTTGAACAGCCTGGGGTTTCTCGGTCCTGAGACCGAGGGCTGAATGTTCTCTTCTCTCTTCCTTTCTTCCCCTTTCTTGTGCTCTGCTTTGGTCTTCTTGCTCCTTCCCTCCACCTGCCTCCCCCTTTCGCTTTCCCTACCTCCCATCCCCCTACGTCTACTGTTCCCCAAATGAATGAAGTGAAAAGAATGATGACTGCAGCTGCCCACTGGACGGAGGACCCAGTTTACTGACCCTCTCTCCCACGTTATAGGAACGGGGAGCTGAAAACGCTGCTGTCCATCGGGGGGTGGAACTTCGGCACCTTGAGGTGAGACTTTACTGTCACCACCTTCTCTCTAGGGTTGGGGGGCGATGGCAGATGGGAGGGTGGAGCAGGAAGGCTAAAGATGAGGACAGAGTCTGGGAGCCAGCTTGGCCATGGGCAGAAAAGATAGTGCAGACGCTTCCCTGAATCCTGACCTGGCCCTGGATTCAAGGGGCACTGACCTCTTCTCCATGGTGAGTGAGAGGAGACAGGGAAGTTCCAGCAGGTGGGGAAAAAGGGGTTGAGGGGAAACCAGGGACAAAATGAGGTGCTCACAATTGTCCTCTCAACCCTTCATAAGAGGCAGGCATTTCGTCCCAGAGAGCGGAGGAGTCTTGTTAGGACAGGAAGAATAAACCCCAAACCTTACAGGGCCTGGCTTTCCTCGCTTTATAAATGGAGCCAGTGATACCAACCTGAAAGGGCTGTGTGGAAGGAAAGGAAGTAACATAAATAAAATGCTAAGCTGAGTGCCTTGGCACATCGTGAATGTTCAGTGCGTGGGAGCTGCTCTTATTAGCCATTACCCTCCACGAGGCAGTGTGGGGGTGACAGGCTGCCTTCGTGTCCTCTGAAGAAGCATTTCCCCTATTTCATGGCTGAGTCAGGGGCAGAGGCCACGCCTGCTTCTTCACCTTAGAGGAATGAGCTGCAGGAAAAGGAGAGCTGGTGGTGGGATTGTGTGAGGATGCGCCTTGTACAGGACCCCCAAGTACAATGGAGGCAGGATTTGGGGTGTTGGGTGAGAACTGGCTCTGCTCGACCCCAGGCCTTGCCTCTCTTTCTGCAAACACTTTTTGCACATTCGCTTTGTGCCAGGTGCTGGGCTAGGGGATCTACGCACACTGTTTCATGATTAGTTGGAGGAGGCATATAGAGGGGCTGTTTGTATTCCAAATTTGTAGAAAAAGAAAGCCAGAGTGAGAAGTGTGTGGGAACTTGCCCTATGCACCCAGGTGTCCCTCAGAGATCACCCAGGTAGGATGTGGCAGCCAGATAACAGAACCCAGTCTTGCTTAACTCTGAATCTGGCTAATTTTCTAATCATTGCACATAGGACCAGCCCAGAATTACTTAAAGTTCAACTCCAGTAAGTTCGAAGTTTTCCAATAGTGTCTTCACAGTGGAAGAGAAAACAATAGAAAAAAGAGAAAAAAATCAAATAGCCAATGAACAAAAGTGCAAAGAGAGTGGAACCCCCTGTCAGAGCAAGAGCCTCTTGTGCCGAGTTACGCAGCCCGGGCCCACATTAGCTGGAAGATCTTTGTGGAAATGCTGGCCCTTGTCGTGTTCCCTCCCCTAATCCAGTCAGGGGAAGAATGTCCCTGCTAGGACAGATTGAGGGACTGAGCAGTTACCCATGAGGAAACAGTGGAGAGGCAAAGCGCCTGCCCAGTGGGCATACCATGTTTGTGGTGGCAGAGCTGGCCTGAGCAGACTCTCCCCACCCCAGGCCATGTGCTTGTTTGTGCCTGCTGCTCCCTGTGCCCTCTGCCCAGGGGCAGATCATGGTTTGCAACGATCTGCTGCCTGAATTCCCCATTCCTGGGTATTTAGATTTAGCCTCTGGTGTGGGAGGGGCTTTTAAGAAGGTTTGAGAAAGGAAGGCAGGTCTTTGAAACCTTCCTTTCCTTCAGCCACATCCCCACCAAGAGGCCTTGCAGGAGGTAGTGTTCTGCAGACACCCTTCCCAGCGTCACTCCTGGTCTCCCTGCAGGTTCACCACTATGCTGTCCACGTTTGCCAACCGGGAAATGTTTATCCATTCAGTTATATCCCTCCTGAGGACACATGCCTTCGATGGTCTGGACCTCTTCTTCTTGTACCCTGGACTAAGAGGCAGCCCCACGCGTGACCGGTGGACTTTTCTCTTCTTAATTGAAGTAAGGCCAGTCTGGCAGCTTCAGACCCCAGAAATGATTCTGCTTTGATCACATCTGGGCTTGTGGCAGAGGAGGAGCGTAAGGCCAGGGGCAAGGGCAGGAGAGGGGTAACAGAATGTTCTTTTACTGCCAGCACCCGGAGATGTTGGGCAAAAGAGCTGCTGAGCAAGTGTCCTTTGCTGGCTCCTTTTCTTTTTCTCTTTTCTCTTTTTCTCTCTTTTTCTCTCTCATCCAGGTCTTGTGCAGCCCTCCAGCCTGAGCGATGCCTTCTCTGTGCAGCTTCCTGGACTCCCTCAGGCAGGCAATGTGAACTCTTGTGCTCCCGCGCCTGCCTGCCGCCCCTCTATTAAATCACTTACTACACTGGCTCACGTCTGCCTTTCTCACGAGCCTGTGAGCAGGGCCTGTGTCTGACTCACCTTTATGTCCCCAGAGCCTGGCTCCAGGGGCTCCGTAAATAAAGGTTTCCTAGATGGTACTTTCTTTCTCTCGACCCTGTTTTGTCTGGTTCTCTGCGTCTGCCTTTCTTACTTCCCAGGAGCTCCTGGTTGCCTTCCAAAAGGAGGCGCTGCTCACCATGCGGCCAAGGCTGCTGCTGTCTGCTGCTGTCTCTGGGGACCCATACATCGTCCATACAGCTTATGATGTGCGCCGTCTAGGAAGGTGAGCGGGTGCTGCCTTGTTGGGGCAGGGTGTTGGAGGGAAGGAGGCATGTCAAGCTCAGAACCCCAGAGCTGCCCAAGCACTGTCCTTGAGCTTTCTGTGTGCCTGTCTGGTGAGTTTGGGGGGGTGGGCTGAGGAGCATGGGCGGGGGCAAGGATTAGCTCCATTTTATCCCAGGCTTTCTTAGGAGATCAGAGGGATGATGTAGTACCAGCTGCCAAAACAGCATCATCTTGAGTAGAGTCTGCATAGTCCTTCGCTGGTTTCGTGGGAGAGAATCCCGTGGGCCTGGCCTCTGCCGTCCCAGAGTACAGCTGTAGACACACACTGTGTAGCAGATGCTGGCATCAGACAGGCAAATGAATTACCAACCACTGCCTCAAAAACAAAAATAAGAATGCCCGGTCAGGCCCAGTTTTCAGAGCACAGGTCTCCATCAAAAGTTACAAAGCCAGGGGCTGGCCTGGTGGTGTAGTGGTTAAGTTCGTGTGCTCCACTTCTGCGTCCTGGGGTTTGCAGGTTCAGATCCCGGGCATGGACCAATGCACTCCTTGTGCAGCCTTGCTGTGGCAGTGTCTCATATAAAGTAGAAGAAGATGGGCACAGATGTTAGCCCAGGGCCAATCTTCCTCAGCAAGAAAAGGAGGATTGGCAATGGATATCAGCTCAGGGCTAAGCTTCCTCACTAAAAAAAAAGGTTATAAAGCCAGACAAAGAAAAGCTCATAACTCTTTCTGGACATGCCAGCTCTGGGCTAATTTTCTCAAATCTCAGGAATCAAGTATTTGTAGATGAGAAAACTGAGGTAGATGCAGAACAAAAGAAAGGATGGCGTGTTTCTCTGTGTGGTTACACTTCAGGAGAGTGGTTTTAATGTGGCAGGAAGGGTGAGAGACCCAGTGGGCATAGAGTTTGTTAGTGTTTGTCTTACAGCCAGGCAGGATTGAGGGAGGCCTACATTCACCCAGTGGGAGGGCTTTAGGCAAATTAGTTAGCCCGTTTCAATTTCTTCAGCTTTAAAATGGAGACAGTTATGGTACTTAGGGCATTGGCCAGATTAAAATTAAGTTAGATAATCCATGTAAACCCTTACACCTGTGACCTGGTACGTGCTCAGTTATACTTCCTCATTATGAAAGCTTTCCAGAGAGATGAGTTTCAATGCTTCCTTGAATGGTAGAAAGGCAGGGCTCTTTTACTGCTGTGGGACAGTGCTGCTGTACTCATGGCAATCTATGCAGACCTGTTAGCCCTTGGATCAGGCCCGCATGCATTTGCTTTCTTGTCTGATTCCTGCCCACCTCCATGGACACTCTCAGCATGGCATAGGTCCTGATGCACAGCTGTCCCTTACCAACAGTTTGTTCCAGTGGCATCTCAAGTGCATGGCACAGCCTGGGCAGGCCCCACAGGCAAAAGTGGCAGGGAAGCTTTGGTGACCAATGCTCAGCTAGTGGCTAGTTAGTGCTGTGATGATCTCACTTGAAAATCTGGCTAGCCTGATCCTCATACCTCCTCCTCCTCTCCCTTACAGACTTCTGGACTTCATCAATGTCTTGTCTTACGACTTACATGGAAGCTGGGAAAAGTTCACAGGACATAACAGCCCCCTGTTCTCTCTGCCTGGAGACCCCAAATCTTCGGTAAGAAAAGGAAAGATCTCAGGCAGCCCGGACATCTGCCCTGACCCCACGCCATTGGCTCTTGGTAACAAGGAGGGGTTTGTGTTCTTCCTACCTGCAGGCATATGCCATGAATTACTGGCGAAAGCTTGGGGCACCCCCAGAGAAGCTCCTCATGGGGCTCCCCACCTATGGACGTACCTTTCGCCTCCTCAAAGCCTCTAAGACTGGGTTGCAGGCCAAAGCTGTGGGACCTGCATCTCCAGGGAAGTACACCAAGCAAGCTGGCTTCTTGGCTTATTATGAGGTGACAGGAATAGGGGCCTCTGTCTATTAGTTAGGGCTCTCCCACCCGTAGCCTGGCAAGAGCAAGGACAAGGGGCAAAGGCAAGGGTGAGAGTGAGAGACAGGACAAAGAGGTGGTTTCCTGCGGCAAAGGAAATCCACTACCTGGGTTATTTTCTTTTTCTTCAGGGGAAGTTATTTGAGTCCTTTGTAAGAGATGAGGGGCTAGGTGGAGTCTGAGTGGAGGGAGAGAGATATTTCACCCCTTAAAATAATCTTAAATGTTATATAAATCAATCCTGACTTACCATATGGCCTAAATAAAAATAACTAATATTTGCAATAGATATAATTTCAAACATTCACAAAAGTAACGGAATAGTATAACCTCCTCTCCCCCTCCCCCACTACCACATACCCCTCACTTAGTTTCAATCATTAACCACTCGTGGCCAATTTTGTTTCATCTCTGCTCCCTGACTTCCTCCCTCTCCACCACTACATTATTTTGAAGCAATTCCAAGACATCCTGTACTATAGATTCTTTCTCCTCTACTCCGGTTCCACTCCCTTAATCCCCATCTCAGCAAAGCTGCTATTGAGTGGAGAATAGAAACATGTACCCAAGAGAATGTAAAACCCAAGAGAAGACAGTAAGAGGCACCGAGTGCGTGGCTGTAGGATCTGGAAAGGTCTTATGGAGCAGGTAGATTTTGAGCAGAGCTTTGAAGCACAGGAAGAACCCTGATGGGCAGGAATGACGAGATGGGAAGGACCTCCCAGGTAGAGGACAGCAGGTACAAAGGCACAAGGTATGTAAGGGTGCCAGAGAGAGAGCTATGTCCTTGCCTTAGGAAGTAGTGGAGGTGCCGGTGTCCCTCCAATCTCTGCTCTGTGCAGGCTGGCTGAAGATGTTTTCCTGCTAACCCAACGAAGCATGGTTATGAGTGACGGCATAGCTGAACTAACGTTCTTGAAGGATGTTATGGGTCAAAGAGATTTTGATAGACAGAACCTTTAAAGAACAAAAAAAAAAAAAAAAAAATGAGACATTAACTTCTTCAGTCCAACTTGAACATTTCTACTTCTTTGCAGCATGTGGTTTCTAGTACAATGCTGGGCACCCTGTAGACACTCAGATGCTTGATTGATTTTAACCACCTAGTTCTCCCTGCATTTAAGACTTTTAAATTTATTAGAGATTCAAAAACTAGTTTGATAACTACCTAGATGGGGCAGTTTGTGCTGATTTCTAATGAACAGAGGAAAGACTTGTTTATGAAAACTCTTTGAAAAAGATACAGATTTGGTCAAGGGTCAGATATGTTACTGTTAGTAGTTCAGTAATGGCATATTTTACCAAACCCTAGTTTGGTTTCTTACGGATGTCACCCACTCCTTGGTTCTCTCTCTTTCCATCCTGGACATTAGAGGAAGGAACGTGTAATAGTAGGAATTTATCCAGAATAGAGAAGAGGTCCTTTGTGAGTGGCTTCCCCACTCCTCTTTGGTCTACCTTCTTCTCACTCCCTGGTGAAGAATTCTTGGATTCTTTAACCCTAGGCAGGGAACAGTGTGTCTGCTGGTGTTTCTCTCCATGACTCTTCACAGAAATAACCCGGTCATCCTCCTGGCAGATTTGCTCCTTTGTCCGGAAAGCAAAGAAACGCTGGATTGATTATCAATATGTCCCGTATGCCTACAAGGGGAAAGAGTGGGTTGGCTATGATAATGCCATCAGCTTCAGTTACAAGGTGAGACCTTGGTCCTTTCTTGCTCCAGCATATGGTTTCCCTCTGGCTTTCATGAAGCCTTTGTTTGTACAATATGTGTGGTGTGTGTGTGTGTGCACCGGGTGGATGGTGAAAAGGTGAGGATGATTAGATCAGACGAGTTTCAGACATCTCTGAACTAATTGGGGCTTCTTAATCCCTTCTAGTCCAACTCTCTTATTTTGGAAAGAAGGAATCTTGGTTTTGAGGGGAGAAACGACTTCTCTTGGTTCACACAGCTTTCTGGGCGACAGTCTCTTTTCTGTTTGGGCCAGATAACTTCATAACAGATAAATACGAATATGAGGTAGACCATGAATATTACTGATACGTGGCAGGAATGGGGAAGTCAGAGAGGGGGCTTCCTGAGGGAGGTGAGCAGGAAGAGGAGATGATGACATGGGGAAATGCTGCTCAGTTGGTACAGAAAGCTCCTTCAAAGCAGGTTCAAATAAGAGTTTGGGTGGAGCAGAGAATTTTTGTAAAGTGTAAGAGAGGGCAGTAACGTGTAGGCCAGTTTATGGAGGGACTTGAATGCTGGTGAAGGTGTTTGGCCTTCATCTTGTGGGCATTTTAAGGCAAAATCAGGTTTCTGAGCAGGTATATGATCTGTGAATTTGAAACCGTGAGACTGTCTGTGACCACCTGCCCCCCATATCAGCAGTGTTCTGTGAAGCTAAATCTGGCAGGTTTTTATAGTGAATTAAAACAGAAATGACATGCTCCAGTGTTCCTGAAACTGCCTCTGCTTTGCAATCACATACGAGACTTGATAAATGTAGAAATTCTTGGTTCCGCCCCTGAATATTCAGTAGGTCTTAGAAAGAATCCGGAAACTGCTTTTAGTATATCCCCATGTGATCCTGCCGTAATCAGTTTGGTATTTGGGAAGCTCTGAGGGGCACGGAGGGTGCAAGCGTGAGGAAATGAGGGCTGGACTAGGGGGGCTGGAAGGAGAGGCAGTTAGTGAATGAGAGATTGTCAGGACTTAGAAAGTGTCTGGATATCGGGGCTTATAAGAAGAGAGATGTCACAGTCTCTCCTACTGTAGGTGATGTAGAAGCTGCAGGTGTCAGCTGTTCTTTGGGGGAAGTTTGGGCTAGAAAGCACAGGAGATAGGGCAGCATTCACGAAGGGTCACTGTGCATAACACCCGGTGAGGCCTGCTGCGGGGAAAAGGGTAGAAAGCACGGCTTTCAGCCTCCAGGATCTTCCTCTGTGGTTTGGGAATAGAAGACACAAACAGAAAAGATCCATCACTCAGTGGAATTATCCAGTTGGACAGAATTCAGTATATGACCCACAGGCCACGGGAGAGGGGATTGACCCTGTGTGTTGGGGGAAGTCTGGGACCAGCAGCGGAGGGTGGCCTTTCTGCGAAGGGCAGTTACTGTGCCGTGCAGAGCTAGAGGGGAACACGAACCCAGTGTGAGGATGTTTAAGGGATTTCATCACAGAATCTCAGAGCTGAAAGAAACCTTGGAGATAACTGTCAGGAGATAATTATCTCTGGATTCCTCAGTGTTCCCGCACTGTCCGGGCATTCTGAGCAAAGGAAACAGAGCAGCTATGATAAAAATAGAGAACTGCCTTTACCCTCTCCCTCAGAGCCCTTGCTTACATTTGAGGATTGTAAAATGCCCCATCCCAGAGAGGACGTGTTTATATCCCAGAGCAAAGCTCTCAATCTTTCTGGAAGGAGGAGGGCTAGATATGCCAGCTATACTATATCGGCTCGAGTCTCATAATTTCAGGGTTCTTCTCCTGTGGTACAGACCCTGCTGCATATGCAGGTGAACATCTGGCCTTCATCACCTCACCCTCTGGGCTATTGGGGCACAGAGGGCAAACTCAAGTTGCTGTTCTGGCTGTTCTTTTTGCTGTGAGTAATAATAGTCTGTTCTCTGATCCAGAGATCTGGGGTGTGTGTGTGTGTGTGTGTGTGTGTGTGTGTACACATAAGACTGGCAGCCTAACTTGTTAGCTTGTAAGTAGGATAAAATCTCAGAATCTTCACAGTTTCAGACTTAACAATGAGTGGGTTCCTCTTTCCTCTTATTTTGCATTTGGGGAAAGTATATCCCAGGTATATTCCAGAAAAGAGCCAACAAATTTGGCCAAGTTATGCAGCTAGTTGGATATGATGGAGTCTGTCTTTTTTCATCCGCCTTGACAGAGAGCACTGGCACGGTAAAAATAGGACCTGGATTTGAGTCTAAACTCTGCCATTTAGTTATATATGAGGTTTTAAAAATCATGGACAAAAGCCATTTTATTTTCTTATCTGTGAACAGGGTACAATATTATCTGCTCTATCTCTTCTTTACAGAAACACTATGAGATAAGGTATATGGAAGTGATTTTTAAATAATAAAGCAATATCTATAGTTTAGTATGATGATAATGGTGATTACCAGACTGTGGAAACCAGAGGGACAGTATTTAACATTTATGAACATTTACTATGTGCAAGGTATTGATCCAAATATTTTAAATTTGGAATTCTTTTTTTAAAAAAAATATCATTTTTCAAATTGTGGCAAAATATACATAGCATAAAATTTAATGTTTCATCCATTCTTAAGTTACAGTTCAATAGCATTAAGTACATTCACATTGTAGTGTAACTATCACCACCATCCATCTCCAGAACTTTTTCATCTTCCCAAACTGAAACTCCATACCCATTAAACAACTCCCCATTCCTCCTTCCCCCCAGCCCCTAGTAATCCCCATTCTACTTTCCATCTCTATGAATTTGACTCCTGTAAGTACCTCATGTGAGTAGAATCATACAATATTTGTCCTTTTGTGACTGGTTTATTTCAGTCGACATCAAGCCTTCAAGTTCCATCCACATTGTAGCGTGTGCATGTAGGAATTCTTTTGATCCTAAAAATATTGGAAATGTTATTATCCCTTTTTTACAAGTGAGACAACTAAGACACGTAAGGCATTTGTAACTTTTTCAAGATCCCATAGCTAATAAGTGGTAGAGGCTAGATTCAAATACAGGCTATATTCCTAACCATCCTGCTATATTGCCTCCTGAGAGTCCGTCTTCTGTTCTTTGCCATTGTCCCTAGTCTGGAGGATGGCCAGTACAGCAGGTTGACTGACTACTACTTTTTCAGGCATTGTTCATAAAGAGAGAGCATTTGGGGGGTGCCATGGTGTGGACATTGGACCTGGATGACGTCAGGGGCACTTTCTGTGGCACTGGCCCTTTCCCTCTTGTCTATGTGTTGAATAATCTCCTGGTACAGGCTGGTAAGTAGCTATGACCTGGAAGCTGGGGTTGGAAGTTGCATATCCAGGCACTAGGTGGATCCCTTCTGTTAAATCTAAAGGCTTTGGTGAGGCAACATGACACTGAGGAAAGAAAGTAAGCTTTGATGTCAGGCAATCTGTTTTCCAATCTTGGTTTGGATGTGTACTCCATTTGATCTCTCTGAGCTTTGTTTTCCGTATCTGTAAAATGGGAATAATCCTTATACTCATTATTATAAGAACCAAATGAGATATGGAACAAAAACTTCTGGGTCATAATTAGCACTCAATATATGTTAGTTTATTTCTGTTTCTTTCTCTTGCTTTCATGGGACAAGGGCTAGAAAAGGAAATTAGGTTTCTTTTGGTATCTCTTTGATAGTAGAGACTGCCTTGGTGGTTAGGAGGTGGAACCTGGCATGCTAGAGCTGAAACATCCTCGGAGATGGTTTGTAATCCTCATTTTATGGATAAGGAGACTGGGGCTCAGAAAGGTAGCATAACTAGTCAGGGGCAGAGATGGGACCCCAATCCAGTTCTTTACAAGATGCTGTCTAGAGCAGCCTCCTTGCCCTCAGCCTTGTTTCTGGTGCATCCTACAGAAGGTTTCTCCTTGAGGATTCAACAAGTAAGGAATTAGGCCTTGGGGGGGCAATGTCTTGCTGAAGGTGCAGTCAGAGAGGAAAAGTGAGGGCTTAAGCATAGAGAGCTGGCAGGCTCCTCCTTGGCGTCATTCACTGGAAATATAGCAAATCCACTGAGTGCCCATGAGTGCCTGGAATCATGTTAACCTGAGGAGGTGGTGGAACAGGGCTTCTATGTGATGGGATTTTTATCTCTGTCCTCAAGTGGGTGAATTATGAAATCCTCCCAATTCTGGATTTGAGGAGCAGGTACGTCAGCCCTGGAATGGTTCTAGTCCTGCTAGTAATTAATAGGATGGGAAGGAAGAGGTAGGAATCTCATCCTTTTCTGGTGATTTTCTCTAGAGTTCAGCTCAACTCCTTTACCAAGATTTTGGCTCTCATCTGCTATGAATTCTTCGGGAACTGGCTCTGAAAGGCTGACTGAGACCCAGGCATTGACCACTGTTATGGGGATTTTGCTCCCAGGAGGAGAGACTGTGACCACTGAGACTCATAGAAAGTCTGAAAATATGACTATAATCCCCAGAGGTGAGACTGTGACCTCTACAAGGGAAACTACGTCCTTTGGAAAGAGCACTATAGCTCTAGAAGAGAAGACCATGACCCCTGTGGGCCATCAGTCTGTGACCCCTGGAGGGACAACTATGACTCCTATGCATCTTCAGACTGTGACCCCTGGAGGGATGGCTTTGACCCCTGTGGGTCATCAGTCTGTAACTCCTGCAGAGATGACTATGACTCCTATGCATCTTCAGACTGAGACCCCTGGAGAGAAGATCATACCCCTTAGAAGGAAGACTGTAGCCACTGAAAAGGTGACTATCCCCTCTGGAAAGATGACAGTCACCTTTGGGCAGACTAAGACTTTAAGAGGAGAGAATTTGACTTCTGAGGTGAACGCTGACCCCCTGATGGGTTCCTTTGGTCTTCAGACAGAAGACTGAAAACAGGATGCTCTCTTCTGGCCCTGTCATCTAGCTGCCAGGACAAACTCCACTTGCTTTGACAACTCTTTTGTTCCCATTGGTGGGAACAATTCCTTTGCCAATTTAATGACTCTTCCAACAAATCCTCTCTCTATAAACAAAGAAAACCCAGAGAACTCTGCTGTGGATCAAGGAGCCTAAGCTCTGTTGGTGGCAGAAGCTGGGAAAGCCCTTGTCTTTTCTTCTAGGTCACCTGACAGAAGCTGCCTATGCCCAGCCATTCATAAACTATTCATGGGGCAAACCAGGCCCCAAAGCCACAGTGAGTTAATTTCTTTTCTGCTGAATAAACTGAAAACACAAGAATCCATCTGAGTTCTCGGAAGTTCTTTTCTTCAAATAACCTGTGCAACCCAGTTGTCAGCTTCTCCTTTTCAAGGTCTCTTTCCTTTACTGCTATTTTTGGAGAGAAGGAGTTTGTCTCTAGGTCACAGTGATGTTTTTCAGGGTAGATTATGTGTTTCCCTCTCTGCCATGAACAACTGCTTACTTTGCTGTTGGTCAGAGCCAGAATATCTTCTAAAGAAGTTTTCCACAATCCTAAAGGTGGGTTGGGAGAAACAGGGGGAAGTTGAATCTTCCAATTATATTCCCTGCTTAGTAAATCTTAGTTGTCTCTGAAAAAACATCCCCACCTATTCTCTCTATAAGAAGTGGCTGAGGGGAAGGCAAAACACAATATTTTTTTCATGTTACTTGCACATTTCTCCTAGGTCTCCTCCAGAAATATGAATTCCCACATACTACACACTGCAATCTACCTATGCTTGAATCATATTTACTTTTGGTCCACTGGCCAAAGCAAGTCAAATCATGAAGCCCAAAGTTAGAATGATAGAGAATTATCCAAGTGGATACAGGGAGGCATAAACAAATTGGAGGATATTATTGCAACAATCTACCATAGAAACTCAATGTTCTAATATTTAAGAGAAGCTAAAAGGTATGTGTGTGTATGTGTATTTAATAGAAATCTATTGACTCCAAAGCATTGGCTAAAATGTCTGCAGTTGCATGTGACTATGGACAGCAGATATGACCCCTGCACCAGGGTGCTTTGATAGGGCCATTGGATCAAAGGGTTCCATGTTTGCATTAAGGTCTAATGGAATAGAGATTGGTTGACATTTCATTCTGGACAATGGACTGTCTTAGGTTTCTTCTCCTACTTGTATAAACCTACCGTCATCTCCTAAAATGTTGGGGATTATACATTTAATTGGTTATTCTTAAGAGTCTAGGAAAGAGATAGAAATGTAGTTTTTCCCACTAGCTCTTATATGGATAATAAATATTTCTGATGAATCTTTGTGATTTTTTTCAGTCCCATTATCTGCATGTGCTTTATTCAAGGATAATGTGCCTGGCAGTTTCTAACTTATATTTTTTAATCTAACTTATAAGCTTCCTGGAACTTATCTCTTAGCTGTAAATTGGTTGGGACGTCTAACCTCCATCATCTACCCCAAAACATAGATCAATGGGCAGCCAAGCGCCTTGTCTCTATTGAGCTTGGGAAAAGGGGAAGAGGAGAGTACAGTCTTGAAGTTGCACACTTCTCTTTAGTTCTCATTCTGCAATGAAACTTGAGAAATATTAGTTTTATTCTGGTGGACCACAAACCCAGGTAAATGTTAGGATTCTTATACTATTAAATATACAGGAAGGACAGATGTTGGGGGAAAATAGCAATCTTTGCCACACATCTGCCCTTTTGGCCACTCAGATGTCTGTGAAAACCCTTCTTTCAGTTTTGGAAACCACCTATTATCTTCCTATGGAAAATGACTCCAAAGTTCCTTTAGTTACTACATCCGGTTCAAAGGCCAAGGTTTTTGGGTAATGCACAGTCCTTGTCTCCCCCCACCCCATGGCCTGATAACCTATAAACTAAAAGTCATGTTATTTTCACCTCCTCCAATAAAAACTCCCTTTGGAAAAATAAAAGAATGGGAAACATTGCAATGACCATATCCTGTTGGTTATGAATTGCAAAGACTCCCTCCTTGGCAGGAGTGTGAGTTGCTTAGTTAGTCCACCTGCCAGCTCCTAGTTCTGCTCTCTCAGAGGAGCTCTCTTGTCCACTTAGGGAGGAAGTATAGCATGATGATTAATGCGTATATCCAGAGCCAGACTGCATTTGTTCTGATCTTGGCTCTTACATGAGATTGGGTAGGTTACTTACCTTCTTCATGCTTCAGTTTCCTTGTTGGTAAATGTGAGGATTAAAACAGTTAATTTTAATATACTTAAAACACTTAGAAGAGTGCCTGGAACATTATGCATCCCATCCACTGCGTTCTTGGAGGTTTCTATTGTCCATTTCCTTCGTGACCACATCTGAAGGGGCACTGGAGAGTACACGCTTCTAGTGGGCTGTACAGTTTTTGTAGCTTGTTTCTTGATGGTGCAGTTTGGGGACAGGGAGTTGTTTTAGGGTTTGAATGATCAGACTTTTCAGGCTAAGCTAGAGAGTTCTTTGGGAATACAAATCTCCCGAAAGCATAGTAGGCATAGCAAGGCTTTTAGTCAAGTTGCATCTAGTTCATTCCACTTGTGAGTAACCGCAGTCAAAGATCTTGTTTGGATATAGTTTTAATCCTGGAAATTCTGGCCTTTCATTTCTTGGCTGTTGTACTCTACCTATCTTTCCCCACCCCTTAACTTAAAAGTGACTACAGGTTACTGAAGAAATAGGTTTAAGAGGGGAAGTCAACATATTTGATCTGATCTGTGCCCTTGGCTTGGCTCCCATTATCTGGCCAAGAACTTTTTTGGGAGATTCTTGACAAAGGTTTGAGACCACAGTCTTATCTCCTGCTAAAATTGCCCTTTAGAGCCACCTCTTATAATGGGTCAGTTTTGGGTATAGAAGCATTGATTTTTTAAAACACTGTGAGATCCCAAATTAAAGGGCTCTCAGTCAGCTTAAATGGTATTGTTAACAGCTTCCTATTTTATCTCTCTCACACCATCCAACTCCTGAAATTCTTCTGTAGTGCTCTCTGGAATTCACAGTCTATTCTCAGTAACATGCTGTATAGCCTCAATCTCTTCTTTCACTGGTCCCCTCATCTTCCAGCTTTAATGGAAACCTGGTTCTTTCCCGGCAATACCATTTCCTCTTGACTGATGGGCTTGGAAAGAGTATTCAGCAGCTCTGGGCCTGGAAAGAGCATTCTTGCTCCTCATACCTCTTTCAGACCATTCTTGCTCCTCATGCCTCTTTCAGACGATTCTTGCTCTCTATTTTCTACAACCTCCCAAATTTGCATCTCATATCATCAGGTTATATCAATTACTACTGCCCTTCATGGTTGTCATCAACTGACCCCTGGTGTCATATTGCTTTGGCAGTTTTAGCTCCTGGCTCATTGTCACTCTCCAACTCTGCTCCAATATTAATTAGTTCTTGCCACTCTCATATAGATATTCCTTCAAAAAATCATTACGTGGATGATTATTTTAGAACCCTGCCCTCCCAGTTCCTCGAATTCCTCTCCTTCAATGAGTTTGTCCTCCTTCTTGCCTCAGTCACTTCCAAGATCATGCTTGGATGGTGTCATTCTACTAATTGCCACTCCTCCACAACCTTAAAGTCATGCAATCCACTCTCCAACTACCACCTTCTATCTTTCTAGGTCATTCTCTTTAATACTTTAATCTCAATGATTCTTTGACTCCACCAAGATCCATTGATCCAATTACCTTTTCACCATCCCTTACCCATTGGATGCCTTCGTTCCCTCCTACTTAGCTTAGATTCCATGGTCAATCACTGCCATCAATCCCTTGCAGATACATTGACTCCCTTGCACCTTCTTGCTTCAGCTGCTCTTTTGGCAAAAGCATAACCCTGACTAAATTCAACTCTGTCACACCTATATTCATGCTGCTGAGGGTGCTGGAGAAAAGCACAGAACCTCACTGATTGATCTTACTTTTAATTATGACCTTGGACCTAAAGTGGGACTTTATTGTTGCTAAGAAACCTTACGATATGCTAATACACCATAGTCCAATCATTCTGCCACTCTCGTTGATGACTACTTTACACCGTTTCTCTCTTCAAATCTCCCACATCTGTGCTCCAATCCTCACTCTTAGCTGAAGATTTTGATTCCTACTTCATTGAAAAAATTTGAGGCAATCACAGGACAACTTCTACAGACTCCAAGTGATCAAACCAAGTGATCAAAGTTAGCCTCACTGGAAGTGAGATGTTAACATTATGTAACTCCTGATGTGATGCACAATGTCAGTTCTGTGACATTCTTTCCAAAAATGCATAGCTTGAACTTAAACACCATACCTGCCTGTATGTTCTGCCTTCCTGCTGATTGCTAGAGGTGAACTATAGTAACAAGCAGGAATACCTAGTAAAGCCAATTTCTCAACTTGTTCACCAAACCCCACGAGCTCTCCATTGCTCAAGGCTATCACTCCAACAATTCTCCCCTCTCTCTCCCACATCAGTCATTTTTTCTCTATTGGGTCATTTTGTTAGCATATAATCGAGTTATTTTCTCCATTCATTAAGCAAATCTAACTTCTCTGGACTCAACTGCTTTTGCTAACTACTGCTTCATTTACTTGCTCCTCTTTGAAGCAAAACTTCTCGTAAGAGTTTTCTATATTTGCTATCTCCTATTTCTTTCTTCTTATTCTCTCTTATTTCACCCCAATCTAACTTTTGCTGCCATCAATACATCAGAACTACTCTTGTCAAGGTCACTGGTGATGCTCATGCTGTTAATGCAACGGTCAAGTCTCAGTTCTGATCTTTACTCATCAGCAGCATTGACACTCTTGATCACTTCGTCCTCCTTGATACACTTTCTTTACTAGGCCTCCAGGTTTTATTTCTACCTGACTGGTCATTCCTTCACAGTTTGCTGTGCTGGTTTCTCGTCTTCTCCCTGACCCCTTAATGTTGGGAAGCTCCAAAGCTCTGTCCCTGGGTCTTTTTTGTTCTCTATTTACAT